TCGTACACACATATACCTACCCACCTACAGCTAGGTCGAACATTTACTTTTTCTTGAGCTAAGGTCTTAACGTTGCCCGGTGACCTGATCCTGTCGAGTGACCTGACCCGACGCTTAATTTGTTGCGACGCTTCGGGGAGATTCCGACTCCGATTGCCTGCCCCTCAAGACGGTGAACGGTGCGTCTTGGGTGACCCCAGATTTGGACTATGCTCTATACTGAAAGCGCACTGTTTTTAATCTGCGAGTTGCTGGGGGGGGGGGGGGGGCGTTAAACGCCCCCACTTTTTTCGCCGGGCCATAGCATAAAAACGGCGCGCCACAGGCGCGCCAAATTTTCGGTGCCTGTAGGGAATTGAATGAAGTGTATTGTGACAAAGTTTCAAAAAAATCGGTCGGAAAATTTTTGAGATATCGTTTTGACAGAGTTTATGACGAGAGGCGCCCATTGCGAAGTCCTGAAGTCCATGCTACTGAAAGCCCGATTTCAGGTGTTTGACCTGACCTTGACCCGACCTGTGATCTCAAAATTCAACTTTAAAGTACTCATCTGAAGCGTCTCGTCGCGTTCTTTCGTTTGCCGCCTCGTGCGTTTCGCTGCGCCTATTGGTTCTCGAGTTATCGGCTGGGGGCGTTTAACGCCCCCCCCCCCCCAGCAAACGGTGGGTGGCGAAACACCCCAGCAACTGCCGGGTTAAGAAGCGATATTACAAGCACCCGTTCCTTTTGGGCCAGCTCCCGTTAGAGAGGTGTTTGGAGTATTTTGACCGAGTTCTTAGACGGGACACCATACAGCATAACCGCTGATTGTTGTTCCCGGAAAAGTGGCAATGGTCGATTCGTTTTATCATTCTGGCTAGCTGAAATTACGGCCAAAGGGAAGGGTGCTACTGCTGACTGCTGAACACTCGGGATATTGCAGCTCGGCACCCGCATTGTGTAGAAGACTGTCCGGGATGCGGTCCTTCCGTTTTTCAAACGATTTACGTTCCCTGTACCTAATTATTTTTTCGAGGCCACTATTCCCCTGTGACTATCTCTGGGCGGCCATTGGTCATCTTCACCTGACCCTCCGGTCCGCTCCCGTCCCTCTGAGTACAATGGCGTCCAGCGCCGCGGGCAGTCCGCTGCTCCTCCCTCCGTCCACCCATGGCGTGTTTGCCGTGGGTGGACGGAGGGAGGACCTCCCTCCCGACCCGCCCGAGAGTTAGTCGATCCGACAGGGCACTTCTTGTGTTGTCGGCCGACGCCAGTGCCTAATTTCCAGATGCCTGCTCCGGCCAGTCACTTTGCTCAACAGGCCGTAACGGGGGAGACGGCGCGGCCCCGCGCGACTGCTCGGCTCCGGTTAAGGCGCCGTGCGTCACACCACGCCGCAACCGCGCCGCTGACGCCGCGCTAACCACCTGCTACATGCTCAAGGACAGAGAGGCTGACCAGTGACCACTGGGTGCTGACCGGGGACATGGCAGGGGCGGATCATGGACGTATCTTAGGGTAAAACAGGGGATCGACGAGCCACTGGGAGTGAAAAGGGGAAGTCGAGCCTACAGTAAGCGGGAAAGAGAGATTTGGATACCCACAAGAGACTTTGGATACTAAAATGAATTTTCTCATTTTCAGCTCTTCAGATTTTTTTTTCTCAAAGAACAGATCAAGCAGTTGTTGAAGTTGTTCCAATTGTGGCATCGTTATCCACTCTGTGGAGTGTGGTATAGAGCAAGAAGACTGTTTTGAAGTCGGATCGGTCCTTTCTTTACTTCTAGCTTGAATGCGCCGCCCTGCATATTCCTCTTTCGTTTGGGCTTCATTGAGGCGCGTCCTTTCTCTGTCATTGCCTGCGCTTCGCTTCGATGTTTGTCCGTCTCCGCCTCCGTCCATTGTGAGATGCTGGGGGAAGGTAGACTGTGCCGCATGGCCTATGTGCCGTGCGGGACAGCCTAAGCAGACTCCGACCGCCGCTGCTGGCCTGCTGAGAGGCAGGCGCCAGTGGTCGTCCCATTGTCTCCGACGATCGTCCCAGTAGCCTCAGGAGTCGGCGGTTAACACCCAGCTGCTGTTGGTTACAAATTCGATATTTGAGTTCGGAGTCCGTGCAGTCTACATGATCTGAGGACTGGGATAGCAGCTCTGTACTGTCCCCGCCGTCCGCCGGCGCGTCCCGCTGGCCCGTCCGTCTCCCAGCGGCCCATCTCCCGGCCCATCTCCGCCGGCCGTCGGTCGTCGCTGCCGACGGGCCCCTATCAGTGCGCCGCGCGCCGTGGCGTTTCCGGCGCGTCGGCGCGCCGCATTCATCGCCGGCGCTAATTATGATGTCTATCGGCGCCTGGGCGGCAATATCGCCGCACTCCGATGCCGCGCTGCTTTGTGCCAGTCGATAATGAAAAGTCGCCACGTGTCCGGGGGAATTCGGCGCGGCGCCGGCCGTCGCTCGGAGCGCGCGCTTCCTGCGGGCCCGGGCCGAGCGCGCGCCGCCGTTGTCATGGTGATCTCCGGCGCGAGTAAAGACGGAAGTGAGCTGAGGGCGAGCCGGAAGCGGCGCCGGCTGCTGGCGAGGGCTGTGACGGCGGCTGTGACAGCCGGGAGGGGTGTGACGCCGCGGCCGACGGCTCGGTGCAGAGCGCCGCTGCTCACAGTCGGACACCAATGGGTGTCGCAGAGGGAGGCCACTCGGACAGAGAGCCTCTCAGCGTCATGAGAGAGGGCCTCCTGGAGAGCCGCCGAGTGGCGCTCGACACATCAATCAGACGATATGGCGCACTCGCGCTAAATTGTTGTGGGTGCTTCACACGTCGAGAGTGAAAAGAACGCTGAAAGGGCAACGCCATGAGGCATGGTTTATTTATTTGAACCGGCACAATATAGGGCGTAGTGTATACCCGGCCCTTTTTTGGCTAGATTGCATTGGTAATTGAAAACGACGCAATGTCCTTTAGCTTCCGCGCTACTCGTAGGTTATAGTTGCATAAGACATTTAAAAATCATTCCTTATGATGTAGGTATTCGGGGAGAGGATAGGTTCTAGGTAATCACTTCCAGCGGCCTGGTGGACTGTTCACTGTTTCATCTCTCTGCGTCGTCCCTACATCCTATAGCGGCTTAGCTGTCAGCGGTGCCCCTCCGCCCTGGCGGACCGCGGGGTTGGTTCGTGTCGTTCGTATTCCGGTCACGGGTGCCCGACTGATCTCATCTGTCAGTCGGCGGCCGCCGCGAGACACGGCACGACGTCTTCCGCCGCCCAGAGGGTGTTTTTCAGCGGACAGCTCTGGAGCCAGCTCGTCACTGTTTCCTGCTGCCGTCCTCAGTTTTGAGGTTCAACATGCAATAAGAATTCATTGTAATGCGGAACAGAAACACGTAGCCGCATCTTTGCTAAATCAAGCACGCTTATCACCTGCATATATGGTGCCAAAACGATTATATAAGATGGATTAAGTTGTTTCTTGGTAGCAAGCCGCCATTATATATACATATTGTACCCACTTCCCAAAACGAGTGGGTCTGGTCCCGGAGTAGCCAAACGAGTTTGGCACACACTGCACTGAAACTTGTCCCCGGCTGGACGCTCCAGTTTAGAAGGACGCGTTGAGTTGTTCGGTCTGCTCGCAGCGGACGCAGTTTCTGTGGCCGCTGTTATCCCCCACCGTCGTTCGTCCGCTGATGACTGCCGTCCCCGGTCGCTAACTGTCCGACCGCCCCACCTTAATCACAGCGCCCACCGCAGCTAAAACGTCCGAGCGCCATCGCCCGCTGAGCTATGGGGTACCGAAATGACGCCCACGGCCGGCCTCTGAGTGAGACGGCCGCCGGCTCGGACCCGTTTGTGTCCGTCGTGCATCAGACAGCAACAGAGCCGCCGCGGTCGGCGATGGATGGCCCGCCGCCGGCCTCTCAGGGGTCAGCTCGCCGAGACGGATGGCGGTGCCGGCGCGGCGCCATACCGCAGCGCCGGGATCCGTGCCCGTGGTCTACGGTTTCGGGGTGTCCACCGCCGAGTCCGCGGCTCCGGGGTCCGCCACAGAGTTCGCGGCGCCTGGGTCCCCCACCGGGGGTCCACCTCCGGGTCCGTCGTTCCAGGGTCCGCGGCACCAAGTCCTCCGCCGGGGGTCCGCCGCCGGTTTTACTGCCGGGACCGTGCCTGGATCCGTGGTTGTGGCTTTTTCGGTCCGTCGGTGTCGGTGCCTGGTCTGTGGTTGTTTCCCTCGTACTCTGCCTGGATCCGCCGCCGCGCTGGAGTTCGCCACTCCGGGGTCCGCCTCCCGGACCCGACGCTGGGTCCGCCGGCGCCCCGGCCGGCAGTTGGATTGGGACGTGAGCGTGGCGCCACAGACGCCGCCGGCAGCATTCTGCGCCATTTACGCCGCCCCTGAGCCAGTCTGGACACGGAGACGGGCGGACACGGAGACGGGCTTTGATCGGTCGTGGTCAGACGAGCAATTGGCATGGCAACGGCTTCTCATTTAGTTCGGTCTCATCACCAGCGATGGGTGTTTTTTGTCAGCGCCGACAAGTCTTCTTCTAACGGTTGATGTTGTTTTGTGATGTGGTGATGTGTCCAAGGTTGTAGATACTAGGCACAAAGAATGTTAAAAGTTGTTTATTTTATAAATATGTTTCTTTGCTAAACGTCGCACGTAGGTATAGGCATAGCAATGTATCCGCTGCTGTTATTTCTCATCTTTAAAAATTGCATTACCTATAGGTATTACGGTACCTACTTAATTCATTATTTTGTTCGAATTCATGGGTGGAGACTTCCATTTCGCGTCTAGCTAGACGCGTCTAAGTCTTAGACGCATCTAGCTGGACGGCCGCTGTGTCTATTTGGCGACAGCTAACTTTAGACGCGGCTAGCTTGGAAGTCTCCGTCCAACAGACGCCAAGTTAGACGCCAACTTGGACGTCTGCTCAGCTAGACGCCAGTTGGACGCCAGTGGAAGTCTCCACCCTATATGTCTTAGCATTGCTATGTCTTGTGGGCAGTGCTATCGGTAACAAGCTCATCTCATTATGTTTATTTAGGCATAAGGCATTTGGCGACATTCACTTTATACCTTCCTAACTTCCAGGGACGACAGCCCATGACCAAAATGAAACCACGATGCACTATCGAGCGAAGAGCCCGGTCCCGACAACCCCGAAAGGAGAAGCGATGCCCTGAAATTACCGAATTCAAACGCGCCAAATCCTCCCCTCGCGGCGCGTTTATTTTCACCGTGAAATATTGCCGGCGATAAAAGGCGGTGGCTCGTCGGCCTGCATTGAGGGAGCGCCGCGCTCCCCCGCGCGCCGCCGGCCCGGCCCGTCTCGCTGCTTCTCCCCAGCAGCCGCCGCTGATTTTCGCCTCCCCGCGTCTGCCGCTATCGCGCCGTTGCCATAGAAACATGTAATCAGGCGTTATCCCCTCCGGGCCAATATGCGGTGGACCAATGAGCGGCGTCAAAAGTCGTGACGTTTTAATGGAATCACACGATTGGTCGAGCGTATTAAATCACGGGGATATATCAGGCTAATGAACTGAAGGGCAGTGGAGATTAGAATTCTGCATTAAAATTTTACACGTTGCACGTAGCATATTGGCGCCGGTCGCCGACGCTCGGCGGATTTCGTCGAATCGATGTCGACGCGGCAGTGTCGCGCTCCGGCGGCGCTGTTATGAAATTGGCTGGGACGGCGCCGATGGGCGCTGAGTGGCCGCCTGTTAGCGGAGGCTGGCGCCTCTGACGTGCATGGCCGAGCGGCTGGGCGCCTCCGTGAAGAACACCGATTCCATGTAGCGTCGGAACGGGCGGCAGAGGACGATGAACAGGATCCCGGCGACGACGCCTGCCGAGGAGCGGGGCGGACGGCGCGGTCAGCGGGCGGATAACCGGACGGGAAAGGTGGAGACGGTGACTGGAGACGATGACAGAATCACCGGCGACCGGCGGACGGACGGCTAATGGCCGGCACCGCGCCGGCTCTGACCCTAATGGACAGTTCTGTGATATACATGCGTGTCAGTGACACTTACAGGTGCTTCAGTGAGTGATACCTAGAAATGACTCAGCGTCTTATATTTATATTTTTCAGAGACGTCTTACATTTCTATTTTATATTCATCTTTAACAATTACAAATTTTAACAATATGACGGTATTCAAATTACCAAATTGACGACTAATCAGCGTTAAAAATGCCAACCTATTTTGTTCAAATAATTTGTCTCGACGAAGACGGTTAGGGTGGTACATATACCTATCTAAGACTTGCCCGTGTTCTTACCTGCGCAAAATGGTATTATCATAAACACCAGGGTGGTATTTTGTATTCCTTTGATCTTTTCTTCGCCAAGAAAGTTCTGTACATTTTCTGAAAAAGGTGATACTTTTTACTGACTTAATCTTTGTATCATTTTTGAGGCTTCAGCTCAGTTACAATAAAGAACAGATGATCGCCACTTATTTCTCTTGTCTGTACGAAATAACAAAGTTAAGAAGAACAACAGAGACATGAAAAGCACCCCAATTCAGATTAATTAGTCATTACAGAATGGCCTATGCAATGGTCATCTGTTGTTTAGGGGCCATGTAGTGACAGAATATGTTCAGCTGCATTTATCGGTTTAGCATGCACCGGAACAAAACAACTTTCCAGATGCACCCATATCTATTCAACCATGCGGCATGCGCTTCGAATGCGCACATGCCCCAAGACAAGGCCAAACATTTATAAATCAAGAATCTCACGAACCGTGTGAACTTAAAATACCTGGTACTGAGTTCATGTCAGCAAAATATCATGCTATCGGTACGAGCCACTCCATGACTGCAGTTGCTCTGGAATATTTGAACACGTCTTGAATACGTTTTTTAGGAAATGCAGGGTTTATTCTGCAAGGAGGAAAACAGCACATGGAATGACCAGGCAATAGTTAGCATAGGCAATAGCTACTTAATCCATAGACATTGAAAAAGCAAACGCTCGAACACCTTCCATTAATTTTCGGCTGATACGCGTTGCATTTTGCAATCTCCAGTCAGGTTACTTCCCTGACCCCAGTCCCAGGGCCTCGTCTAAGGAATTTTCACTGGGGGGGGGGGGCAGAGACTGAAGGACCCAAACCTAGGGTACCCCCAAATCCTGTTTTCTCACCGGATTTAGGCCACTTGTTTTTCGTCACAGCCCTGAGGCCATGATTTTTTTTTCAACAAAACAAAAAACAAAAAAGGCAATCCGAGCCATGCTCGTATAGGGGGGGGGGGGTCGAATGGACCCCCCGGTTTTTCACGAATAACTCACGTAAAAGCGGCTGACCGCGACGAAACTTTCAGTACCCTCGCGTTAGTCAATTTTACACCTACTCTGAAAATGTCATGACCCTGACCGTAATGACCTTTGACCTGTGACTTCTTTTCGAGACCATATTTGGCCGGAATCGCGATTCGGCGTATGTCGGCTCGCATTAGCCGCGCGTTTGCAGTCTTTTCGTGGTTTCAAGCGCTCAAACATGGATATGATATTGCTCCCATGCATTAGGGTGGGCGTCAAGGTCACCGCGAGGTCAGGTCAGGTCATTGACTTTTGATGACTTCGGTTCACTTTTTCGAGTTTTACATGATTCTAGGCCAGTTTTTGGAGCTGAACTCGAATTAACCCGCGCCCCAGTGGCGGTCTCAGCCCCCTAGTGGGGGGGGGGGGGCATATGTTACCACCCACCTCTAACTCAAAAACTAAGAGGGCTAGGAAGACGCGGTAAAAAGCAGTCGATAGCTCTCAATGCGTACGCTTGAAAGTACTTAGGTCATTTTCATCTTAGAACAATATTGGGGTCACTGGAGGTCATCAAAGGTCAAAATTTGCCAAATGTCATTATATTTCTCAGAAAACATGCATTTATCTCAGGAACTATGGTAGCTAGAAAAACGCATGGAAGAGCAATCGATAGCTTTTGAACTCTTCTTTTGAAAAGGTCATTATCAATATTGACCTCAGGTCAACGGTTTAGCCTCCAGAGGGCAAAAACTCCAAAAATAGCTGTTTTTACGAAAAGTGTTTTTCGACAATAACTTTCGACTATAAAAAGCCACGACATTTCTATTGCCAGCATCGTGTTCCCCTCGCTGAGACGCGTCGAATGAACTATAATTTGACCTTGAAAGGTCAACTTGAAAATTTGACCTCAGGTCAAGGTCATGACCTGACCGGAAAAGGTCATGTTGCATATCAGTCGATGCGTCTCAACAAGACAAACACAATGAGACCATCCCCAGCGTTCTATCTCTTTTCAATCGCGAGTTATTGGCAAAGAACTGTTTGTAGCCTCAAATGACCTCGGATGACCTTTCTAGAGGCTATCAGCAAAAGTGACACCCTGGTCATCACGAATGGACTAAATCATTGTGATTCTGAAATATTTGGACTGATCCTATGCGTACACACGGATCTAGAGGCATTTTCATTTTTCTCCATTGCCTTATAATGGTAAGGTCACGACACTGACCTGACCTTAGGTCAGGGATATAAAAAATCCGAGATATACAAATTGTAGGCGTCCATAACATCATGCAATCCACCAAGTTTGAAACCTTTCTGACAAACACTGCAGGCTGGACATGATTGCAAACTTTTTTTTAGGCTTGGTCAGTTAACTTGACCTGGTGACCTGACCTGACATGACCTGGGGTCAAAAATTTCACACATTGTCCAAAATTGATGTACAAAAAGCTGCCCCAAGCGGCGCGGCGCTCCGCGCCGCGGTTTTTTATTTACACGCAAAAAACGCGACAGGGTGGTAACATATGCCCCCCCCACTGGGGCGAAGGTTAAGAAACCATTTGAACGTTTACGAAGTAGTTTTGGTGCCTTCGTAACATGTTACGAAGCTGTCAGAGCCAGAGGCGGTTGCCACCTACTAAGAATACCCGGCAAAACCCTTACTGGTTGACCTGATCTGACCTGACCCGACCTGGTCTAAATGCATTAAGACTATGATCATAATCTATGTCTATCTATCTAAGACTATCCATGATCATAACTAACATGATATTCGTGATCAGCACCCCGAAAAAAAACATAACAGCCACCCTTTACGACGTTGTAACAGGTCCCGCGATTTTCCCGACTTTTGGGTCATAGACCTGACCTGGAAGGTCAACCGATGACTTAGGACCTTAGAATGAGGTATCATCGACTTCCTCTCGTGACGGGCAACACGGTGGTTTTCTCCACGAAGCTCTAGCTCGATCAGGGGCCAAACGGCAAGGGGCAAGGTCCAACGCCCCCCCTCTCCCTATAAGTTCGCGGCTGGAAAATCACCAATACGGGCGAGAGTTAAGATTAATGTGTTACCCCCTCACATTGCACCACCAGACAGTGATAAACATACTTATCCGTGTTGGGCCGTGGTCGTTTGATTGAGTGGGGGGGGGGGGGGGGGGCGCAAACACGAGTTGGGTCACTGGTCAGCTGCCAATTGACAATTTGCTACTTGAATCACAGTAGCAAAATCACAGAATCACAGTAGGTACTCAGCTCTATAAATCACAAAACTCTGGCTTTTCCCATAGTCATGGAATGTGAACAGTTTTTGAACAAATAATTTAATGTTTCTCGTTAAATCCGTATAAGACTCCTAACAAAAACGCATTGCAGAGAAGGTAATTTTGTGAGAAGTTCACGTTTTGACTGGGGGGGGCAAATGTTGGCCACTGGGGGGGGGGGGGCAATCCGCTCGACTGGGGAGGCAATGGCCCACCCAGTTAACATGTTAGACGAGGCCCTGCCCAGTCGATAAGTTCATGCCCGATGAAGGTTTGATAGGTAGGTAGGTATATATTAGCCGTTTTCACTACGGCCATCCGGTACACATTGGGTGCACATTTGGTGCAGATTAGGTGCAGATTTGGTCAAATTAGGTTCAGTGTATTTCTTAGAAGTTATCAGCTAGGGTTGCACTAATTGCCTATATGCCTCCTTTGTCATATTATAAGAGAGTATCATCGATCAAAACACTGAAATAAATTCATAAAATGAAGATATTTGCTGTAAAAAAGATTAGGTGCAGATTCGGTCAAATTAGGTGCATTCGCCGGATAGCCCGTCGTGAAAACGGCTAATATGCAGTTTGATATATAGTTAGGTAGGTATGCATACTCCTCTGTACAACTTGTTGACACCTCCAGATATTTGCACGCAGGTATAGTTTATTGAACTTTTGACATGGACATGGCTTTGGTGTATAGATAAGTATTTACCTACATGTTGTTCAGATGGGCATTGTGCATCAGTTAATAGCTCGATAGCTGTTATAGGCGCACACTATATACACAATGCACACTACGCAATGCACATTGCAAATACTTATCTGGAATGTGTATCTTGTGATGTGAAATCTTTGGGCTATTAATGCTTCAACACTGATTTATTATGCACACCTTTTGTAGTTTGACTTCAACGTACCGTTTCGAAGTTTCAAGAACGCACATACCTTTTGCAAGTTATCTTCCAAAACACTGCAAAAGACATTGCTCTCAGTTATCGCCTTGACTCTCAGAAAGCTAAAACACACGTGCTTTAATTTGCGAATGTCTTCCAGATTCAAAAACCATTTCAAATTTGATATCACAGCCAGGCAGATGTGGAAATATTCGATTACCTTCCATTGTTTGAGCTTCTTTTTTCTACTTAGACGGTAAACGTACCAGGGCCCAATCTTACCAATGCCGTGAATAGGATTTGGCAGCACTGGCCGGAGTTTACGGCACTGCAGTGCCGTGCACTGGTATCAAATCATTCTTATTTACATCCAGCTAATCTTGTCCAATGATTTTGATAGCGTGAATGATTATGAATGTTGCCTGAACGAATGAATAAGTGAATGCGGAATAATTCTGAATGTTGCCAAATGCCGTGAATGCGCATTCACGGCATTTGGTAAGATTGGGCCGGAGACATCATGTAAGTACTTAAAGCGCAATTTTTAAATGCTTGTACCTAATGTACACAGTTCGTGAAATAAAACAATTGTATTGTTTTCATTAGTGATAAATGTAAGCACTTCCATTAGGAGGCAAGGATCACCAAGATAAACAATGGCCCAAAATGTCCAATTTTAGGTATTCACTTTTCATTTATCGTAGCATACACAAAAATTGGTGCGCTTATTCACGTTCATTTAGCATTCCTTCAATTACCAAATGACCACAACTGCGGTCGAAGGCTGGATTCGCGCGGTGAAGACAATGTGTCTGTTCCCACGAACAATTTCCGTTCTTTTGAGCCGTCTAAACGCATTCTTTTGTGTCCGGAGCTGGGCGCACAATCATCTGCCCGGAGGCTCTGTTCTGTGGATTTCCAGAGCGCTGGGCAGAAAATCGCTCCACAAACATCCGTGATGCGAATTTGACCATACTCGAGCAGCTTTGAAGAGCTAAATGCTATTATCGGACGCGTGACACCGGGCACTTTGTTCCTGTTCATTGCTCAACAAGGTTATGATGAACTGCCGGCCACAAATCCTATAAGTCTCTTAAATCGCGCCTGGGTTTCTATTGGCGCTGTGTGCAGGGCAGCCGTGCGCACGACTGACCAATGCCGTCGAACATGTCAGTCGTCTGACTCACTCGGCGGTCCGACGAACCACTCTATCCGACACCCGCTCTCAGTAATCGTCTGTCATCACCCATCGGACCGAGATGATCTCAGAAGGCACACCGTAATGGACCGACTGAGTAATGCGTGGGACGCATTATTTATATAGCTATAGGAGGTTTGACTTTTACCATTACCAATGGACACGGTCCGTCTCTCCCACTTTCCAGCCACGTTTGCAACGTTCATATAGCGTTTGCAACCAAGTGATAATTTATTTCTAAACCTTCCTTCGATTTTTAGCAAATAGCTTACACGACCACACATTTGGACACGATTTCGGAATTCTAATCTAGAAGACGCATAATGCGCTATCCTGGCACAGTGAATTCTTAAATTGTAGGAAACAATTCTGAATTCACATGTAGAAGATCAGCGAAATAATTGCATACTGTATCGAAATGAATACAAGTCAGCTCCAGTTTAAACTCTCAACTCGGGCCCTTTTTGACACATTACCATACGACGACAGGCGCGCTGCTCCGGTGATGTATCACCTGATAATTTATCTCCCATACATTATATGAGCCTCACCTAAGCTCGGCCACCTGTTGCGGTTCGTGGAGCTGAGATAGCGGCGGCGTGGTTACACCCAGTAAAGATCTGTATCTCCTCCGGGCCTCTGTCGGCCCAGTGATCTCTGGGGGCCGGCTGGGGAGCCGCCGGCCGCGATCATGAATATTATCACCTCATCGCCTTGTCGGCAATCAGTCAATGTAATCACGGCGCGGTAATGACATCGGCCGATCGGGTAACCGGAGCCGCCGCCGCGGCGCGAGGCCGTATGGCGGCCGGGAGGCGGGTATTTGCAGCCTGTCTGTGGTGCAGATCAGTGTCATCATATAAACAGCAGCAGTAGGTGTCATCGCCGATCAGACGGAAGTTTGGGCATATCCGATAAGTTTTGCTTCTGTAAAACTCGACTTTGCAGTGCTCGTATTTTTGACTCGTGGTATTGACAATCTGACATCGGCAAGAGTCACGGTTATGACCCAGATAGGTAAATATTACGGTGACTGTTAATATCTATAAATATCAGGTGGTAAATATCAGATACGGGTAGATTTTTTTGTGATCACCAGCTTAGGTTCTCCTTAGTCGGTGTACTTACTCCGAGGCTGGAGTAAAATTTGATTGTGGATACGGACGCTGCTGGTGATCGTTTGTTTCAGACTTTTCATCCAACAATCATAGGTAAAGCACACTTTCAGACACTTGTCCTTCTTCATAACAAATGTCAAGCGAAATCGCGCAGTTTATGAGCCTCCTGACCGGTATAGTTGCGGTTGGTGGCAGCCGCCTTAGCCAGCCGAAGTCGTGAGGGGACCGGCCGTGCGCGACTTTGGGCGTATACGTTGGACTTTGGAGTTTGGACTCTAAATTCAGGAATTGACTTCAGGAATTGCGCGACCGGAAGGTAGAGGGCAGGGCCAACGCAACAAGCTCAGCTTAGCGGGGGCTCTGTCCTTGTGAATCTTTTCATTCAAAAGGCTCAGGCTAAGTTTATAAAAAGAAATCAGCCCACCAAACTCTTATCCAACTCATTTGGTGAAAATGTCAAATTCTTAAATAAGCTGTCAACTTCAACAAACTCTCGGAATTTCTACCTAACAGGCCGAGTACGTTATGAGCTTCATAGACGGTTTGCGTCCAATCGCTTGTAATCATCACAACATGTAATCTTAAAAAGGCAGATGACTTTTGCATCGTGTAGCCGCGTCATCAGGGGTAGCGTCGCACCCTCTGCCTCTCATTTCCCCTCTGTCGCCTTGTAGGTTCTCTGCAGGCCCTTCCTTCTCCGCTCCGGGCGCGCTCCGCTGGGCTCTCGTCCAATTAACGCCGGATTAGTACACTCCTGTGCGTTTGAGGCGCGGCGCCGACGCCCCTCCGCGGTCACGGGTCGAGGGCAGCCCGCCGCCATTGTTTCGCCGCCGCCCACAGCCCGCCGCCGCGCCGCCGCCCGGCGCGCCGGCCCAGCGTCGGGCCATGTTTTCATGACGCTGTCGTTAAATTTTTCCGGCTTGTAGAGAGCCAAAAGCGTCGCCAAAGAGTCCAGTCAACCATCAGCGGCGCGCTAAATCAGGTGAAAAATCGCCGTCCGACTGTTCGCCGGCGCTCCGCGTGGCAGAGGGCGGCTCAATGGGAGCCGGGCCAGCTGGCCGCTCGCCGCGCGGCCGACAACAATTAATTCGTCATTATCAATTATTTGACGCCCTTTTGAGTGCGGCTGTCGGTGCTGGCGGCCTGCGGTCCGCCGGCGGCTGAAGCGGACCACGCTGTGGGCCACGCTGACGGGACCCGGAGGGGGGCCCGCGGCCGCGCCAGGGCCAACGGACGCCGGATTACGCCGCGTCTTGGTTTGAGTGGCGGCGGATTTGCCGCGCGGCGCCGACCCGCACCACAATGCGCGACATCGCCGCTGCCGGTAAACAAGGATTATACGTTCGTTTCTGTTCAATCTGATCTGAATGCGGTGGTGTGCCTGTGGGAGGTCGCCGTGTAAAACAGCCCACTGGCTGGTGACGCGTCGCGCCGAGCCGGCTCCCAGAGCAGGGCGCCGCTCCGCCACTCATTATCATATTTCCCACGTTAGACGCGCTGCAACTGTGGAACATTGATAGTGCTCTTTGTGGCTTCGGCTCCATCAACTGCCCGGCGATGGAGGGCAGTGTAGTGGCGAGCCGCGCTGGTAGCGAGCCTGTTGTGTGGTCCCTCACACAGACACTCGTAACGACTTGTCAGCACGTCGCATCTCGTGACAAATAGATGTCCGTTTGACGATTTGTTTGTAAGTCTGTTTTGAAACCATCAAATCATGCACCGTTCACGTGTGCTCTCCGAGATGCGTGAGAAAAGTAATGAGTGTGTGTGTGTGAGAAACACGATTCAAAAGTTCAAACGGTGCGGTGAGGTTTGGTAATTGTCCAAACGCATTTCTGTTCAATATCAGGTGCGTGTACTGTGTAGGTATCTATTCGGTGATGTGTCCGCAGGCGGCTTGATGGGTGTGGTCTTTTCCTTCCTTGCTAATTACGTAAGGGGCCAGTTCTTCGTTTACATTTCATTGCTTGTTTTGGCACACCACTCATTTCATTTCTCTTCATTTTGTTGTCCACATCGTTCCACGTCTCCCCACTCTCATCTCGGCCCTTGTCGCCTTTTCCGCCGCTTGGCGTTCAGCTCAGCCCCAGGACCTGCAGCTAACTCCTCGGCCGCGACCGCTCAGCACGAAGCATTACTAAATATCCGCAGTCAACGACAATGCCGGGAAAATTGCCGGCGTAATTAAAACGGAGGCCGTTAAGGGGCCTAATCCCGACCGTTTCTCGAGTTAAATTACTCAAAAGGAGATTGTTGATTTATTGACGCGGCAGTGGGACCACGGCCGGGCCGACTGCCTTTGTTGGCTTCGGCGCCAGCGTGGAAAACAGGGCACTGTCGGGAGCTGCGCGGCGCGCGTGGTGGGGGACAGGGGGACGATGAGGCCGGCAGACAACGAACGGAGACTCGTCGCCGCTCTCAACGTCTGCTCTTAACCCGCGCGGGGCTGGGGTCTCCAGCCGAACGCGCGGGGCTGGGGGGGGGGGGGTAAATTTTACCCCCCCTGTTATCTCCCGAACTAATGGTCCGATTTGAAAAATTCAAACGCCAATCGAAAGATCTCATCACGAACAACTAAAAACATGTACTTAATTTTAAGTTTGAGGTCAAGGTCAAGGTCAGGTCAAGGGTACAAATTGCAAGTTCCTACAGTATCGGCCTTGCACCGTAGTTGCCGAAGAATGGAGTCATGGACTGAGACTGATCGCCCAAAACGTGTTCTTAGGCTACCAAGACAATACTCGTTGCAT